CATGTTATGTACTAGACCGGATATCGCTTATTCACTCAGTTTGGTAAGTAGATACCAATCTAATCATGGAGAAGAGCACTGAAAAGCGGTTAAAAATATACTTAAGTACCTGAAAAGGACTAAAGAGTTATTTTTGATATATGGTAAAAGTGACCTCCAAATGGAGGCTTTTTCCGACTCTAGCTTTCAGAACGATATCGATGATAGTAAATCTGTTTCAGGATATGTTTTTATCCTCAATAGAGGGGCTGTCAGTTGGAAAAGTTCCAAGCAGGACACAATAGCAGACTCTACTATGGAAGCCGAATACATTGCGGCAAATGATGCAGCCAAAGAAGCTGTCTGGATGAGAAAGTTCCTTTCAGAGCTGGAAGTTGTTCCCACCATTAAAGATCCAGTACCTTTATACTGTAATAGTAATGCTGCAATAGCTCTGACAAAGGAACCCCGGTCTTACCATAAGTCCAGACATATTCTAAGGAAGTATCACTTGATCAGGGAGAGAGTTGATCGCCAAGAGATCAAGATTGAAAGAGTTGACACAAAAGATAATATAACAGATCCATTCACAAAAGCAATTGCTCGTACATAATTTGAAAAGCTTGTTGAGCTATTGGGTATTAGATATTACAATGATTGGCCTTAGTGCAAGTGGGAGTTTGTTAGATATAGGTGTCCTGAAGGCAATAATTGTATATTATAACAGGACATATATGAATATAACATCCTTATTCAAAATAATAGTATGCTATTTTGGTCAGATTTATCTGGTATTTTTAAATACAGATAAAGTCCTTAGAATGATACTAGACTATCAGACATTTTCGGATATGATCGTAATGAAGAGATCTGATTTGTCGCTAACGTATATTCTAAAATGTTCCTAGTCGATGAAGTGTTGAAATAGGACATCATCACTTTGGTAAGACTAGTGTATACTCTATTTCTCCTTTGGAAGGACGATGATCCATCTCTTAGATCATTGATGTAAGACATCAAGATATAGTCTACAGGTAGCTCATTAGTGAATGAGTTGACTGAACGACTCATCGAGAACATCTAGTTGGTAATTATACTTAACTGTCAAATAGAAGTTCTCAAGTGATATAGTATATAGTAGTCTCATGACCTGAGGCATGAGTGCAATATCTTACATGTTAGTATAGGTGTACTTAGACTTTTACGTAATATCTTACATTTCAGTATAGGTGTACTTAGACTTTTACCTAACCACAGTTCTCATCGAGTTGTGCATAACGGTTCTTATTGGGTACATTCCGAGGCATAAGTAGATATTGAGATGCTAATATGGGATTCGTCTCTCCCAGTATAGGGGGTTGATGTCATAAGATTGTTTGATATAACTATAACCTGAAAATCATTGGCCGAGGTAAATAAGATAAATTGAGTGTCAGTTTTGATCTTATGGGTTATGAGTTTAATATCAACAAACACTAATTGAGCAATTAGGGTTTGACAGTTTTCCATATCATAGGCTCAATAGTTTGACATGGTTTGACGAAGAGATCGGACTGTACGGTATTATCACTAAGTGGTCCTGATAAAATTGTGTAAGCATCTTACAGACATTTATCACAACTAATACCCGGGTAGTTTTCATGTGTAGCTAGCACCTCTGTTGTACTTGTGGATATGATCAATTGCCGAGTCTTATAGTTGGGCCCTAGAGTCACACAAAGCGCGTACTTAAATCCTATGAAATATAAATTTATAGAGTAATGTGTATGATTGATACGCATATATGATTTTCACCGGATACACATAAACGGTTATATGTATCGGTAAAATCATAATGCTATGTGCTTAAGAAATAAATTTTAGTATTTTTCCCATAAAGTTAACTTTTAGTCAACTGGTTGACTTTTTGGTTAACAGTTGCCTTTTGGTCAACTCATTGACTTTCTGGTCATATGATGACTTATTAGTTAATGATTGGAAAATTACGAAATACCGTATTGATGTGGTTTTTCATTTATGAAATACGAACTTCATTATACCTTGATTAATGAGTCATGAGATGAGTCATTAAGGTAGTATGGTTTGGGAACATGGTTTTAGCACATAGTTTTGATTCTTCATGATTCATTACATGACTCATGAGATGAGTCATTGCATGACTCATGAAAGAATCATTGTTTTGATGACTCATGGTGTGACTCATAGGATGAGTTATTCATGTCATGACATATTCTTCCTCTATAAATATGAGCTCTCTTTCTTCTTTCATGGTTAATGGAAAAATGAAATAAAGAGTTTATTCATAGTTGCTTTCCATAAAAGAAAAAGAAGAGAGATCTACCTCTTACTAAACTCTAGCAATTTTTGAGTAAGAGGAAGTAGTAGGATTTTAAAGTACCACGGGTGGATATCTTGCCTTGTGTCTCAAGAAGACTCCGGTTTTATCAAGCTCACTTGAAGACTTGGAGATCCATTACGAGGAGATTTACTACTACAAGGAGCAAGAGTTAGGGGTTGTTCGATCTTCCATCGAATCACGCTTCAAAAGTATGACTTTATAACCCTTGTATGCTCTCTTTAATATAGGGATCATGTTAGATTTAATTAGGATGGTCCTATTTTATATTTCATGCTCTCTACATGCTTAGTAATTTTATACATACAATATTCCGTTGCGTATTTAGCATGTAATTAGCACGAATTTCCAACACTGAGCGATTCTCGGCGGGAGTTTACCATTGGGGTTGCAAGTTGTAATTTGGAAAAAAATTTGTAGGCAAGTTGTAATTTGGAAAAAATTTTGTTGGGAAAAGAAGAGGGATTATTTGTTTCGTATAGGCCCTTACTATTTCATTATATTGCAAATCTGACATCTGGGTTTTTCTTTCATTTTGGAGTTTTCACTAAAAAACCCCAGTAGTTGGAGGAAAAAAAATATGATGATGAATATGATCACGTCTCAAATAAAAGTAGCCATCATGGGAGAAAACAATTTGCCAAATCATACGCAGGTGAAGGAGAATTGTGATACACGTCCTATCACTAGTTTTAAATCTATGAGCAGTACATGATGTCAATGCAAAATTTTAAAATATTGATAAAAAGTATACAGATCAGTGCAATAATTAATTTTTAAATAGATTTCGTATTTTTTTTTCCTTCCCCATATGATTTTCTATAGAGCCCTCCGTTCTTTTTTATCATTGATCCGTAAAAAAGCTTATGTAATTTGAAAGGTAGCTAACCATAACTTCATTGGTCTTATCATTATGATTCAGTTTGGATTGAAAATGTCAATTTCCATGTTGCAACCATATTAAGAGGAACCAAGTCCACAATGAATTGGAAGGGATCAGGGGCCCTATGTTTGTGGATCATGCGGAGCTGTTGCCTGTCCTGAAAGGCATTCGTTTTGTTCGACGTATTAACTGGAGGATTTTAGTAGTAGAAATTAACTCTCTAAAGGTTGTCTACTTGGTGGACTCTCCTTCTCCTTTTGCTTCCTTAGCTCCTATTGCAGATGAAGTTCGCGCTGATCTGACTATTACTGGCTACTCTAAAGTTTCTTATGTAAAACGTACTGATAATGATGTTGTTCATTCCCTACCTAAGTCGGTTGACTATTTGTCCTCTTGTTTTTAGTCTGTTTTTGTCCCTTTGTTTTTTAGACAAAGTGTTGTTGAGGACTTGGTTAGTTAGATTACCCTACATACGCGCCTTTTCAAAAAAAGTCCACAATGAATTTATCCCCCCTTCAGAATTAGATCTCTAATCTCATTAATTAGCTTGGTATAGTTGCAAGATTATGTTCTTTACATCCAATATATTATATAACTACTTCCTCATAATATGTTGCAACATGTATTTGATGAGCTAGTGACCAAGAGGAGAAACTTCTTTTGATGTTCCAACTGGCATTACTACAAGAACGTGACATCTTGGAATAACATCTAATTATTGGTGTACAAATTTTATTGATAATCTTGGAATAACAAATTTTAACAAATAGTAAGGGGCTATACTACAAGAACGTGACATCTTGGAATAACAAATTTTAAGGAATTGCAATATTCACTAGGCCACATGCAAGAATGTGATGTTCTAGTTCATAGATTCACAAATTTTATTCCACGAAGTTGGGTTACAAGTATATATAATCTTCAAATGTTCAAATTTTCAACATCAATTATTGATGTAGTCTTCACGATACAGTGACATTGCTTATTGATAATCCAATGGGCTTGGAATTATGTACGATATCAGATTCCAAAGAGTGGGACAAGTGGACAACCATCTTCCCCAATAGGAGGACAAGGATTCATGTTCACTCAAATAAATCTACAAAAAATTATAATATTGATGAAGTTTTACGTATTTTTAGATCACAATTAAATTTGATTTGATCTCCATTTATGATTTTTGACTCTCTCATACATATATTTTCAACGGGTCGCGACCCTTCATGGCTTTAGTTTACATACATGTAATGCTGCATTCAGTGTACAAATGTCTTAATCTCTAACAGACCTATACATTAATGGATTAATTTATACTTATAATAAACATATGAACACTGATGATAAATTTCACATAATTCAAATGATTTTTAGGGGTTTTGCATGAAATACCATATGTATGTAGTGATTTTTAGATCTCGTAAATGCCCTGAAAAACCACCAAACGCATCAAATAATATCACACAAGATTTAACGTGAAAAACTCTCAACAGGGAAAACCACAGGATCAAAATCAATCCACTATCACCTCCAAATTACAATCTTTTGCACGGACAAAGACTGGCAAACCCTCTCTTTCTCTTTTTCTCTACGCTTCTTCTTCTTCTTTGTTTTTCCTCTAACAATAGAAGGACATATATAGGGAAATCAAAACACTATCTCTAGCCTAACTTCCTAATTAGAATAAGATTCAAACTCCTAATCATGATAGAACCCAAACTCCTAATCATGATAGATCTTTAACCATATCTAATTCTCATAAAGTTCTACAAAGAATTAAAAACATTATATTAACTTGGAGTTTGAGTTGATACCCAACATATCCTCCCTCGACGAAAAATCTCTAAGTGTCTCAACGGCTTCAGAAAAACTCACTCTCTTCATCTTGTTCTTCATATCTCCCTTGTGCACAAGAGTCTGAGAAGAGTAATTTACACTATTAACAGACTGCCTATCTAAATAGCAAATATGGTTGCTATTCTTCCTCCCTTGTAAAATCAAATCATCATCTCTATACGCTTTGCACCACTCTCCTTCACTCACATACTTGTACCCACGTGATGCCATCTCACACAACGAAATTAAATTAGCACCACCCGACGGCACATATCTCACATGATAAAAAATTCCGACCTTCCCAGTGTGAAGTTTGAGGCGAACACTTTCAACACCTTCAATCTTTATCTTCTTGTTGTTTCCAACAATCACGTCGTCAAATTCTTTATTTGTCTTTAATGTGTTAAAATAATATTTATTGTTACAGACGTGCATAGAGGCTGCAGAATCTAACACCCAAGTGTTACTCGCATTAGTATCTGTACTCTGCATTAATAAAACCACATCTTCATCACACAACCACCGAGGAGTCCGCCTTCTTCCTATTTTCTTGAAGCTTCATCTGTCCAATACTCTTCAAATAATCACGCATCTGGGAACATCTGAACTAAATGTGATCTTTCTCTCCGTAATAATAGCACTCATTTTTGTTGTCGTCTCGGGCCCGAGATTTTGACCTTCCTTAATAACTGTCACATCTCCCTGTACTCCTCCCTCGATTAGAACCTTCAAAAACTAGTACACTCTCACCACCATTAGATGCGCTCTCCTTTCTCATCATTCTTTCATTCTCATGTAGGAGTGTTGTCACATTGTCGAACTTCAAAGTCTGCTTCCCTGCAATTATCGTCTGAACTAAGGACTTGTACAACTTTGACAAGGAAGACAATAGGAGTAGCGCCTGCTCTTCTTCTTTAATCTCCTCATCAATATTTATAAGTTGACAAACTAGCTGATTAAAGATATTGATGTGGTCTTGAATTGTAGTACCTTCTTCCATCTTCAATGAATAAATCTTCATCCTCAAACACAATCGGTTGGTCATCGACTTTGATGCATAAATACCCTCGAGCCTTTCCCACAGCCCTCTTGGTGTGGTCTCTTGCATAACATTGTACTTAATCTCGGGGGTGAGTACCAAACGAATTGTGCTAACTGTCCTCTTTTGCATAGAAATCCATTCAGCATCCTTCAATCCTTCATGTTTCTTATCCTCTAAAGCTTGATCAACACCCTACTGTACAAGAATATCTTGAACCATGCACTGTCATACTGTAAAATTTGTCTTGCCATTGAATAGCGAAATATCAAACTCCAGACCTGAAGAAGTCACCATCCTCTAACCGTAATCAAAATTCAAATAAGTCACTGTAGAGATTGAATTTGATAAAACCGATATAAAAAACGAACTCAGCACATTGAAAACCCCTAGGAACGACTCCTGGATCACCAAAATCCGCCTCCAAATCCTCGATCAAAAGACAAATCAACCTCAACCGTCGGATCTGCGTGTACAGTGTTATCGCTACAGTAGCTTTTTTTCAATGTCGATCACCGCGCTTCGACCGCTGACGCCTTCACGAATCGCGCACCGTTCAAACCTCTACGAACCGTCGAACCGCGCTTTGATACCACATGTGGGAATTTTTAGATCTCGCAAAAAACCTGAAAAACCACCAAACGCAGAAAATAATATCACACAAGATTTAACGTGGAAAACCCTCAACATGGAAAAACCACGGGATCAAAATCAATTCACTATCACCTCCAAATTATAATCTTTTGCACGTACAAAGACTGTCAAACCCTCTTTCTCTCTCTCTCTTTCTCTACGCTTCTTCTTCTTTTTTGTTTTTCCTCTAACAATAGAAGGACATATATAGGAAAACCAAAATCCTATCTCTAGTCTAACTTCCTAATTAGAATAAGATTCAAACTCCTATTCATGATGAAACTCAAACTCCTAATCATGATGGAACCCAAACTCCTAATCATGATAGATCTCTAACCCTATCTAATTCTCATGAAGTTCTATAAAGAATTAAAAACACTATACTAACTTGGAGTTTGAGTTGATACCCAACAATGTAAACAATTATTAGTGAAGTTTTTTTTTTATGGACAGTGTTTTTATTTCTTTTTTGCCGCTTCTTTTCTAGACAGTTTTTCTGTGTACAGTTATGTGAGTAATATCGCTTCATTCTCCAACATTAGCATTGGGCTAATTTAGTCTTTCTCGTTAGTGGTTTTCTGTTCTTTTCAAAGTTTGTGATGGTTTTCTCTAGTAAAAATAGC